ATTTTTTTGACTTAATACCTGCTGCTATTCATGTGTGAAAAAGCTTAAAGGCAATTATTGTTTTAGAAGTTTCATCCCGTTTTCGCCCAACTGTGGCTATAGAGGGCATACCAGTGGAACAAGATGACTGCTGTGCTTCAGAAATCACGGTTGAAAGTACATCACAATACATTGTACCGGAGGAATCCCAAATGTTGAAAATATCAAAATGTAGGTTCCTAACACTCCTTTAGTTTGTTTTATGACTAACGAAAATATTTTTTTAGGCAAAGGAGAATATCTTATGGCAATAAACGACAAATGTAAAGATTCCGAAATTATCAACGAAAAAATTATCAACTTTTCAGGCTTAAATGCATTATCCCTTACTACTGAATCTGACGAATGTGATGAAACACTTATCTTTGAATCCAATAGATATAGTAAGAATTTTAGTTTGTTTTATAAAAAGTAGAATTAAACCCAATTTCTTTTTAGTCAAGGACAAAAATATTGAAGTTATAATAAATGAAGAAGATAAAAGTCTTACAAGTTTGAATACTACTGCATCTAACGAACGTGACGAAATACTTATAGTCGAATCTAACAATTATGATATTACTAATAACAACAACATATCTAATAAATGTAACATTGTAGACTATTCGTCAAGTGCAGATAGCCCCGTTGACGATTCTGACGCTGATCCAAACTATGCATGTTCTGATAAATCTGAAAGTCACAAAGGGACGTCAGCCGATTCCATATCCCTTTCAAGTGAACATAATACAGAAACCGAAAATGAGGTAGTGCATAAAGCCACAAGAAAAAGAAAACGTAATTATAGGAATTGGAAGTCCACTATTAGAAAGACAAAGAGAGTCTCAGGTGAATGCTATGTTTCGAAGAATAAGAAAGTGGTAAGAGCCCGTAAACTTGGACCCCCATGTCATTTAAATTGCAAAATAAAATGCCAACAAAATTTCTGCGAAGATGAGCGTGAGGGTATTTTGAAACAATTTTGGTCTGTAGAAGCTGATATAAACCAAAAACGCCAGTTTGTAGCTTCTTGTGTAAAAGTACAAAACGTTAAAGTACGACGAGTAAGAACGGGAGAAAGACAAGGAAAGAGAAGTCAGTCGCTTTACTATTCCTTTACAAAAAATAACTTGTTTACTCCTGTTTGTAAAACATTTTTTTTGCATACTCTTGATATTTCGCAAAGTTTTGTAAGAACCGCTTTAGCCAAAAGAGGAGATGGTGGAATAGTTATAGAAGATAAGCGGGGAAAAAAAGTTCCTCCCAATAAAACTAGTGAAGATATTAAAAACGGTATCCGAGAACATATTATGAAATTTCCGGTTGAGGAGTCGCATTACAGGCGTGAAAATTCTGTGAAAAAATATTTAGGATCCCATTTAAATATAACTAAAATGTATGAACTTTACAAAGAAGAATGTCAAGACAGGAACATCCCAAACGAGTGTATTGCAAAACAGTGGATCTACAATGAAATTTTTAATACCGAATTCAATTACGCATTTAAGTCACCTTATAATGATACCTGCGATGAGTGCGATTATTTACAGATTCAGCTCAGGGATTCGTCAACATTAAATGACAGAATGTTCATTCAGCAAAAATACGATGAGCACTTAAAAGAAGCCACTAAGAGATACGAGTTAAAAAGAATTGACAAACAGCGATCATTGGAAAATTTAAAAGAAAAGGTCATAATGGTCGACCTTGAAAAATGTCTCCCTACACCAGTGCTTACGAACGCACAAAATTTTTATTCATTAAAGTTGTGGACATTTAATTACACCATACATGACGCATCTAAAAAAAATGTGTATTGTTGTATGTGGGACGAATCGATTGCTGGGCGAGGTGTTAATGAAATGGCGTCTTGCCTTTTAAAATGGGCACAGATAGCCATAGGAAATGATGTAGAAGAACTGACTATATGGTCCGACAACTGTCCATCACAAAACCGGAACTTAGCCATGATCATCTGCTATTTTTATATTCTCAAACTCTTTCCTCAACTTAAAGTTATAAATCATAAGTTCCTCTTAAGAGGTCACACCCACTTAGAAGCTGACTCTGACCATTCAATGATTGAAAGGGCAACAAAAAAACAACCACAATTCCAAATAATGACCCCATGGGATTGGCAACAAGTTGCTAGAATAGCAAGCCGGAACAAGCCCTTTCATGTCATTGGAATGGAAACTACGGATTTTAAGGATTTTAAAAGTCTTTACACCGCCTCACAATCATCCTATATTTCCCGAAAAAAAAACATTGACGGAGAATTGTTTCTAATATCTAAGGCCATACATTTAAAAGTTAATTCTGAAAGTCATGGAATTTTGTATTACAAAAATAATTTTGATGATGATTTTTCCCAACTCGATCTAAACAGAAACCGTCGTAACCCCACCTCACAGCTCGAAAATATACCCATTATACGAAATAGTTCAAATCCAATAACCACAAGGAAGTACCAAAATTTACAAAACCTTCTTAAATGGGTACCAAAGGTCTTTCACCCATTTTACCAGAATCTAGTTCATAGTGAGAAGACAGGCGAAGCTGATGATAATTAATGTTTTCTATTTATTTATTTTTTAACCCCTTTTTGCTAATTTTTTTCTGTGTACCGAAAGTTCGTTATGTTAATAGTAAAAAAAATAGTGTATTTTTCAATAAATGGTAATAAAGTTAAAGGTGTTTATTAATTCAGATCTCTTAATAAAATCTAAAAATGATTTGGTGAAAAGTTTGTCCAAAAAGGGAGAAACAACTAAAATAGCAAAAAATTGAGGTAAAGTATGAAAACACTATAATCAACAGCCATAAGATTTTTTTTTCTGTTCGTTCCGATACAGTATTTTTAATATCAAGTCAGTCTCATTAAATGTATTGACTTAATATTTTAGTACTAAGTCATGTAACAGGTACTAAGTCAAGTTTTTGAAAAAATTTAAAAGTATTAAGTCATTTTTTTTGAAAATGGTAATGTTTTATTTAAATTTTTGTTAGTGGTTATTAAGAACACCCATTCTTTACAAAATGTGAAATCTCAAAATTTTAATAATTAACCGTTTAAAGGTACCAGACTGTTACGAATTTGAAAAAAAGTTTTATATGCTTCTCCTGTAAAATTTACTAATTATGACTTAATATAGCTGACCCCTGAGGTGCTGATATATATTGACTAGAATGGTAGGCAAACTTCGCTGACGCGAAGTTTGACCTTTCTCTCGGGCCTTCGGCCCTCGAGCCGCGCTGCGCGCGGCCCGAGCACCGCTCCGCGGTGCTCTCCTCGCTGGTTAGTAAATATAACATTTTTTGAAACACCCTGTACTTTAGTTTTTAAACACCCCGTATATAAAAGTTTAATGAGAACGTTTTTCAAAAAAGAGTAGGCCCCGCTCGGGGAAAGACTAAGAAAAGTTTCTTCCAAACTTCCAAAAAAGGCATCTGGTTAAATGAAAAAGGAAAAACCTAGTCCACCTGTGTCAGTTTTATGAAACACCCAGTACATAAATTGCAAAAAACATGTGGTTAGTAGGGAATAAGATTTTTCATAAAAATATTGCAGACTTCAGTACAAACTGTAGAAATGGAAACAAATATACCTAAGGAAAGTTTCGTTCTGTTGGTAATTGGATCAGTTTTGTGGAACATCCAGTATAAAGATTCAAAAAGACACCTGGTTAATAAATATACAATTTTTCATTCAAAGACTCTAGTAAATAAAGACAAAGTTAAAAGTGAAAAAGGAAAAAATTGCCCGTAATTCAGCAGATGTGGGTCAATTTTGTGGAACGCCCAGTACATATATAGATTTTCTAAAAAGCGGCTGGTCAATAAATATACAACTTTTCATCAAAAGATTCCATGAAAAAATTAACAAAATGAATAAGGGAAAATCTGGTACACCTGTGTCAGTTTTATGGAACATCCTGTACATAAAT